AGCAAAACCTTATATAGTAGTAGATACTTTTCAAGGATATAACCAGTGTACTCAGAACAATGGTTTTCCTGTCTTATCTTACTTTTTGCTGTAGCTGATTTTTTAGCACACAGACACAGAGATACTTGCTGCTTTTAACTCAAAAAATGCTTAATACAGTTAAAATGATTATTTGACACAAGCAAAGGCTTAGCTATCAATCTGCCTTGTGGTCAGCTGCATTGCTAGGCCACAGGTCATGCCTTGTATTCAGCTATAAAGCTAATACTTCCTAATAATCTAAATTATTGTAAACCTAACAGTATGCTTATCAGAAAACTGTTCTATTTCAGGGTAATAACAAACCTGCGCACTACACTTGCATTGTCAGAAAACATCCTTATCACTAAGTCAACTGATCACACAGTCATGTACTACTTCATTTCACTCTTTACATAGTAATAAATAGTGGTACTTACATTTGTAAGAACTTGCAGTTTGTTTCACAGAACAGCTTTCATTTCTACTTTTGGTTTCAGTTTAGCTGACAGGCAGCAAGCTCAAACTTAAGAACCTGGACTGGGAGATCATCTTTTGTCTGATTTTACATCTCCAAGAGCCATTTGGAAATCAATATGATCTACCCACTCTGAACCTCTGAAGGATATGATGCAAGTTGATTGCTGACAGGAAGAACTTGCTCAGGTTTATAATTTCAGGTTTTATTTTTATGTTGGTGAAACAGACCTTTTCTCAAAGAGGAGGAATCTATAAAGCCATTACAAACACATTTCATATGCTATTATACTGCACAGATTTGGAAAAGGTACAGATAAAGCACAAGTTTCATACTACATGAACACGTACCAATTCAGTCATAGTAAACAGAAGGTAAAATTTATAAATCTTTGACTTCATGTACAATAAACTTCATAATCATGTTTCAGAGTTTTTATGCAAACTCTCTTTTCCTTTTTTAGAGTTGGCATAATTTTGGAGAAGAAATTTCTTGCTGCAAAACACATTTCACTTTAAATCATCATCATTTCAATGATAAATTACAAGAAGTGTGCAAACTGCTTTAGAAAGTAGAAACATACAGCAACATGTAATATGCAGAAAGCTTTGTTTATAGTTAAACATTTAGTAGAGGCAATAAGTCATATTACACTTCCATTAACTAAACAGGAAAGAATAAGTTATATAAAATAGACTTTATCTAGTTTTCAACAATACCCACATCTCCAGATTTCATTCTTTAGAGCAACACTGCAATCAAATATTAAAGTTTTAATCTCTTTGATGAATATTATCTTTCATTCTAATGGAAGATTTGTATGTTTAGTACAAAGATTTTTTTGTTCCTACTTTCCAGAACTGGTAAACAGATGTTAACTGGAAATCCTCTATCAATATAGAGAGTTGTCTAGGAATAAGCCTCACTGTAAACCTTTAAAAAAATCTAGGTTTTAGTGTCTAACTTCATTTTGGACAACCTAAAACAGATGCTATAAGAAGAGTTTGTTTAAAAAATGAACGGATAGGCTTGTATCTTTACATGTGTTTTGTCCCCTGTGCAATTGTAATAAAATCTGCAGGACTTTTCACCAGAAGCACACAAGCCCTTAGTTGCCTTCACTCATGTAGGTCACGTTTCCCCTCTTTCAAATATTCCAGATTATGCATCTGTCAGATTGCCTCACACTCCCAGTCTAGTCAAAGTTCAAAATATAAAAGGTACTGGGGATATCAATAAAGTTCTAAAAGCACTCACCATTTAGAGTATGGTGTATTTCCATGAACATATGGAAAATAAAGTTCAATTTATTGAGGCTAATTCCTCCAAAATTTGAATTCATACTTTTCAAACAGCAAATCAGAGGATCTTTGAAGTCCTCTTAAAAGGGTCTATGAACATATGCATAACAGAAGAGCAACATCATCTCACTTAGCATATTTTCATTTTGGCTATCCTGAATTGTGCCAGCTTCCAATGCATATGAATTCCAGGTGGATTCTCAGTGACCTCTGCTTATAACAGATCTTGTGTTCTTCTGTAGTATAAACTACTTCTGCGGGCTCAAAACGGTCATATGGATAAAGGCATTGCAAAAACCATGCATAGGGCTTGAGAATATTTAGGAATCAAAGTAGAGAACATAGCTGTTTTGGGCCCAAAGCATATGCATCGTATTTGTAAGCTACCTTTATATTCTTCACAAACTGCTGAATTACTAATGAGAATTTCACCAGTGATATAAAATTCAACACCATCCACCTACTGGCTGCTTTATGCCTTGGCTTAAATGAACATTAAAGGAAACGTATTCAAATTCAGAGGAAAACACAAAAGCTGAAAACACCATTTTAAAAATATTTATTTTCAAAAATAAAACGCTTTACCCAGATTTTTGCTAAGATTTTTATGTAAAGGTTTTATATTCAGCACATACCCTCTGCTACTTTCAGTTTCTTTTTTGATTATATCATGCTTTTTTGGGAGACGTTACTCATATGAAATTAATTGCTGTGTCCTTACTCCTTCCCAAGATGTACATTACAAACAATCTTACAAACTGAACACACATACATAACAAAGATGGTATCTTTCATTCAAAGAAGCACAGGTATCAAATAACGGGGCTATCTTAAAGGATCTTCAACGATGTCTTACTGCTGAGTGACTTCCTATTTTCCAGACCCATTTATACACTGTGAATAATATTAATAAAAATAAGACTTAAAAAAATATAACCCCCGTTTGGTGCACAAATAAACAAACAGAATCATGCCCCTCTCACTCCCAAGACTTTACCCTGTATCACAATCTTATCTGGCACAGAATTAGAGTCTTTTAAAAAGATACTTTATGTGCTAAAATTACACCAAAATTAATGGTCTTTTAAACAGTATTCAGTGGGAAGAAAGAATGACTAGACTAAATGAACCTAAAGAAGTTTATTGTTCATTTTTACTTTATGAATCCTTAATTTGAAATTCTGATTGTTACAGTGCTTTTCTCCAAACGGGGTTAAGTTTTTTTAAGCCACGGCCTTTAAGAAGAACATATTATTCAATTTTTTCAATCAACAGAAGGCAGAACCCTAAGGAAGCTTTTACTCTGCAAGGAATGGAATCCAGAAATTTTCCAAGGATGGTAGGTACAATCATGCTTGTCACAGTACCTGAAAGCTATTGTCATCATTATTAGCATTCCAATATCATGATTGCAATGAAGCACTGTAATTCTGGTACCTTTTGATATGTTCAACATCCACAAATAGCAAGTTGGATATACAGGAATAAACATATTTGCAACTAGCACAATCCACCAGAATATTCATCATCATCTTCATCAGCATGAGCGCCAACTGTGGGTGTTCCTTTTCCTTTGTCCTGTGGAGCATTTGGGGATTTCTTCTTTGTTCCCCCTCCTGGGACTGTCAAAGTCAGGCCAAGCTTGGCATACTGATAACAGCAAGACAAGTGTTACTTAGTGTCACTAAAGCTTACTCTCACTTTACTCTTTGGAGAATCATATTAAAGTCAAATATATTCATACACGGAAGCCAGGCAAATAGATCTGCCTCAGTCTATTTCAGGGGTGGGAAATTTTTTTGGCTGGAGGGCCACTTCAGGAATTGGGTGAGCAATTGATACTATCTGCTCTGGGCCACTTCACCCCATACTCACCACCAGGGGTGCTGAACGGAGCAGGCAAGCAGGGTCTCCATGGACACTAGCTGGGACCTCTGTGGGCAGGGTATACTTGGTTGGTCGGATGGCATGGGGCTGCATGTGGGCAAAGTGTTGTGTCTGGGAGCAGGATGGGCAGGCAAAGGCCAGGGCAGAGCCACAATCTGCTCCCTGCACAGCACGCAACAAACCTACAACTATCCCAGTACTTTCCACACACCCCTCCCTGAACACCTCTCTTTCTTATTAGCAAAAGGTTTGTGAAAAGCCATAAGAAATGCCAGCTTACATCATTGTCCATGTACTTGAAGAGTGGTGAATTACAGACATCAGTAACTTGATCCTGGTCTTGCTGGTCATATCCTTCTAGAAGTTGTTCTAGTGCTGCGCAGTCTTCACTTCCATTGAATCCTGGTATGCTGATGGAAATGCAAGTCAATTAAAACATTTGACCTATCCACTCCTGGCTCCTCACTGCCTACATTTACACAGAGAGATAAAAAGCTATAAGCTTCACAATAATACAGTTTTCTGCTGCCACTTTACTCTGAAAACAAGACTGGATAAAAGTGTCTTCTAGTCACGTGAAAAGAAGTTTTTAATTAGATAATAATGAATCATGCAAAATAGTGGTTCCAAAATGTAAAGTGGTTAAACAATTTTGTGGCTGTTACTGGGGCACTACATTTTCCTTTTAGTAAATGTGTTAAGCCATATGTAGTTATTCAAGACAGAGGAAAAGAGTGGATAAAAAATTATTTAACCCTCCCTCAATTATCAACCAAGGAAACAAAAGAAAGAGAAACCTCTTTAAAACAGGTTCTCTGAATTAATACAGGCAAACCCTGCTTAACGCTCCAAATTGAGTCTGGAAAAAAAAAAGCGTTAGGCGGAACGGCACTAAGCGAAACCCATTTCCCCACAGGAATTAGTGTAAATAGAGATAACTGCTTACTGCCACTTCTTGCCAAAGCTTCTCACCGCCACTGCCCAAACCCTCCCCCCCGCCCCTGCCTCCCCCTGCCCCTCCGCCGCCCTACCGGCTGCTCCGGCCCTCCGTGCCAGTCCATGCCCCATGCTCCTGCCGCTTCGTCCTGGGCTCCCGCCGGCTCTGGCAGAGACCCTGCACACATGCCTGCCCCCACACTTGCTGCTTCTTGCTGCTGCCATTTCTCCCCACACCCCCCTGCCTGCCAACCACTCTAGCACCGTGTGCCAACTCATGCACCCCACTCCTGCTGCCCCGCCCTGGACCCCTGCCAGCCCTGGCCCTGTAGCACCAGTGCAGGGCCTGCGCTCATGCTTGCCTGCCCACTTGCTGCTGCTCGCCATTGCTGCTGCTTCATTGAGCGCTATAACGAAACTGGCTGAGCGCTAAATGAAATCAGGTATGAATTTTAAATGAGCGCAATAGCGAAATACCGCTAAGTGAAACCGTGTTAAGCAGGGGTTGACTATAAGTATAACCAAAGTGTAAAAGTTTGAAAACAAGGCAAACGGGTGTCTTACCTATAGCTTTCTCTGACACATCTTTCAGCAGCAACGAAGTCATTTCTGTGAAGATGAACTAAAACTTGAGCAATAGTTTTCTAAAATAGAAGAAATCTTTGATCATTCCTCAGTAACAAACACAATAAAATGCTTTAAATTCAGTAACTTCTTAGTAGAAATAGAAATATTCCTTGCTCAGGATAGGTGCAGAAAGGGCATTAAAGCCAGTGAAAAATGTGCCCACGGTGTTCTTTTTCCCCCAGAGACTTTTAGTAGAGGAAAAAAAAGCAGCAAGACAGAAATAGTGACAATTTAGACCAGCATAATTCCCACAATCTACACCAACTGTAGTGTGAAAAGGAAGAAAACATCATAGATCAATTCTGTTATTCTGAATACAGCTTCAAAACAAACTGTATTCAGGTTACAGGTCCAGAATTCCACAAAGGATTTTTAGAATAATTGTGACACCACAGCTGAATTTTTAAAGTTAAGAATATCAATCTAAATATTTAATGTAATCAAAATACCCAGCCTTCTCGCTCTCAACCCCATTTCTACGATAAAAATTAATATTCCTTCAGCCTCATAAAATTTAAAAGAACCTTATGTAAGGCAGATATTAGAATATCTTGGAAGTTGCCACATGACCAGATTATGATCTTAATAAAGATGAAAATACAGAGTTAATAGGTTTATGTGGAGAAACTAGTCATCCAAAACTATGATTGCCAGGCAAGAAATTAATCCATGGACTATTAAAAGCAAGTAGTGCCATTCAGTCAGAAGTACTGGAGACTTCAGAGGCCAAACAATTTCCCTTTTATGCATTTCTGTTGTTATTAAGAAAGAAAGCAGCACTCTAGGTTTTTACCTTGTAACATGTTGGATAATTTTCAATCTCTTTATAAATACTTTTTTCCTTCTGAAGTGACAATGCAGCTTCATCTAATCTAAAAACAAACAAACAAACAAACAAAAATCATAACATCAAAACAACTGGGAGAAGCAAATACAAAGAAACCAAAAGATTAGGGCCATTTAAATTTTTATTACAAAAATTAGGTGGTAAGAAAAGAAAAGAAGCTGTAAAGCACTTCAACAATCCATATGTGGATTTTAAGGGTTCTCACTTGTTCCTTTTAATTAACTTCTCCCTTTCTTTTACAGTTTGATTCTTTGCACTTGTGAATTTTATTTAATTAACTTTAAACCCTTTGAAGTTTTCCTTTGGATTCTACTCTAAAACACACTGGTGAAATTTTATAATCTTTCAAGTATCGTTGGAGTAACTATCAAAAATGCTACAATGAAATTCAGAAATCATTGTTTAAAATACTGATCAGTGGGCACATATACCACATGAAGAACTGCTGCAGTACAGAAAGAAAATCTCCATGAATTACACACTACTAATTCTGACATATCATCCCTCCCTGGAACCTATACAGAAAATCCTCAACCAATTGCAACCCATACTAGAAGAGGGGGAGTGGAGTCCAGGAGAGCTGGTTGTATTTTAAGGAAGCCTTATTGAGAGTGCAGGAATAAACCATCCCGATGGGCAGGAAAACTAGCTAGTATGGCAGAAAAACAGCTTGGCTTAGCAGGGAACCATTCAGTAAACTAAATCACAAAAAGGCAGCTTATAAGAAGCGGAAACTTGATGAAATAACTAGGGAAGAATACAAGAGCATTGCTCAAGCATGCAGGGATGAAGTCAGGAAGGCCAAAGTGCAATTGGAGTTCCAGCTAGTCAGGGATGTGAAAGGTAACAAGAAGGGTTTCTACAAGTATGGCAGTAGCATGAGGAGGATCAGGGAAAGTGTAGGTTCTTAACTGAATGGGGGAGGCAATCTTGTGACAGAGGATGCAGAAAAGGCTGAAGGTCTTTTTGACCTCCATCTTCACAGGCAAGACCAGCTCCCAGACTACTGCACTGGGCACAGTTCTGAGAGGAGGCAAGCAGCCCTCAGTGGTGAAAAAACAGGTTAGAGACAACTTAGAACAGCTGGATGTGTACAAGTCCATGAGGCTGGATGGGATACACCCAAAGGTGCTGAGGGAATTGGCTGATGTGACTGCAGAGCCATTGGCCATCATCTTTGAAAACTCATGGCAATCAGGAAAGGTCCCGGATGATTAGAAAAGGGGGGAAAGAGGAGGATCCAGGGAACTACAGACCAGTCAGCCTCACCTCAGTCCCTTAAAAAAAATCATGGAGCAGATCCTAGAGGAATCCATTTGTAAGCACTTGGAGGAGAAAGGGGTGATTAGGAACAGACAGCATGGTTTCACCAGGGGTAAGTCATGCCTGACCATTGTGACCAACCTGACTGCCTTCTGTAACAAGGTGACTGGCTCTGTGGATGCAGGGAGACTGGTGGACGTGGTGTACCTTGATTTTAGCAAGGCTTTTGATACGGTCTCCCATAACATTCTTGCAGGCAAGCTAAGGAAGCATGGGCTGGATGAATGGACTGTAGGGTGGATAGAAAACTGGCTACAGCATCAGGCTCAGAGAGTAGTAGTCAATGGCTTGATGTCCAGTTGGCAGCCAGTAACAAGTGGAGAGCCCCAGGGGTTGGTCCTGGGGCCGGTTTTGTTCAATGTCTTCATCAATGCCCTGGAAGATGACATACAGTGCACCCTCAGCAAATCTGCAAATGACACCAAGCTGGGGGGAGTAGTAGATATGCTGGAGGGTAGGGCTAGGATTCCGTGACCCACACACTTTGGAGGATTGGGCCAAAAGGAATCTCATGAGGTTCAACAAGGACAGGTGCTAAGTACTGCACTTAGGATGGAACAATCCCATGCACCAGGCTGGGGACTGCCTGGGGGCTACAGTACACAATAAGCTAAATATGAGCCAGTAGTGTGCCTTAGCTGCCAAGAAGGCTAATGGCATACTGGGTTGCACTGGTAGGTGTGTTGCCAGTAGGTCCAGGGAAGTGATTATTCCCCTCTATTCAGCACTGGTGAGGCCATACCTGGAGTACTGTGTTCAGTTTGGGTCCCCCACTACAAAAAGGTTGTGGACAAACCGGAGTCCAGCAACAAAATGGTGAGGGGGTTGGGGGACATGACTTATGAAGAAAAACTGAGGGAACTGGGCTTATTTAGTCTAGAGAAGAAGAGAGCCCAGAGAGACTGGGCTTATTTAGTCTAGATAAGAGAAGACTTAATAGCAATCTTCAACTACCTTAAACAGGGTTTGAAAGAGGATCAAGTTAGGCTATTCTCAGTGGTGGCAGATGACAGAACAAGGAATAATGGTCTCAAGTTGCAGCAAGGGAAGTTTAGGTTAGATATTTGGGAGAATTTTCTCGCTAGGAGGGTTGTAAAACACTGGAACAGGTTACCCAGACAGGTTGTAGAATCTCCATCCTTGGGGGTGTTTAAAAACCAAGTAGACAAACCTTTGGCTGGGATGATCTAGTTGGAGCTGGTCCTGCTTTGAGCAGGGGGTTATATTAGATGACCGCCTGAGGTCCCTTCCAATCCTAACTTCCTATGATCCTAAGACCCAATTCTTAAAAGAGGTCTTCCTAGCACTGCCCATCCTAGCTTTTAAACAAGCATCAAACCTCACCAACCTCATCACCAGAAGCAATCTTCCTATGGCCCAAAAACACACGGAATGGATCCAGACCATGCCAGGACAAGAAATGTAAAACCTGCCAACATATCTTCACCATCCCCGCAATAACTGCCCCCCACAAATGAACCATCAGCATTCCTGGATCTTATGCCTGCACCTCCAGAAATGTAATACATCTCATCCAGTGCACCAAGTGCCCTGATGGAAAATATGCAGGAAAAACCAAACAATTGCATACCAGAATGAACACAAAAGGAAAATCTATCAAAGACAAGAATACCCAATTACATGTGGGAGCACAATTCTCACAAGAAAACCACTCTCCCCAATCTCTCAGTTCTAATCCTCAAAGAGAATTTACAAAATACCTTTCACAGATGAGTCTATGAACTTCATTCCACCAACTTTCTGGATACAAAAAAATCACAGACTAAATAAAGATAGTGGATTTATGACACATTATAACCTGCCTAACATCTGACACTCCAGGTAACCTCTCTACTATTTATTAGCTATATTCTTATCACCAGGTCTACATTCCCCTCTCTCCCCACCACTTGTCTCTCACCCACCTACTACGTCAATTTGCATTTTCACTGACTGGCTCTCTCTCATGCATATTGGCCTCTGGCTTCTTTTCTATACCATTCAGGAAGAGCACAGACCAACTGCAGATGCTTTTTCAGTCTGACAAAGGGTGTTTGTACCTGAAAGCTTGCAAAGAAGAAATTTTTCATCTATCTTAGTTGGGCTAATAAAAGATATCGGATTTACCCAAAACACTTTGTCTGCCCACATATACATGAGACGTTTACTGAGGAGATACCTAATTAGCTCCGTAGTAAAGTCTCAGTGTCTACACATATGGCCTTACTAGGCCACCGTAAACTAATTAACTCCACCATAGGTTATTATTTGTAAATAGTTAGTGCCACACTGGAGCACCCTTGCACCCCACCCAGTGCCTCCACAGCACACTGAGCCAGGCTGGCAGGTTAATCTCCTGGGCACCCTACCAGCTGGGGTCTCTCTGACCCAGCTCAGCATGCTGTCCCAGGAGCACATGTAAATGCAGCGCTCGGGAGCAATAAACTCTGGTGCAATATGCAATATTGCTTTGCATTAATTTCACTTGTAGATGCACCCAGTGTCATACACTGTAGAAAGTTACGTTACGTCAGAGCCCTGGTAAAGCTTATGCACCATACATTTCTAGAATTCCTTTTCTTGTTGGTGCACCTTTGGCTGACAAGTCTGGTAACTGGCAGTCTTTGGAATAAGTCAAAATATTTCTATAATGTTAGACTACAGTGCTCAGAAAATAAAATAAACACTTGTGGTGAACTGTGCAGCCCCCAAAAATGCAAGTTAACAGTTCATTCCAGACAGTTGCTGAGCAGCCTGGTAGAATCCAATACTTAAAAGATAGCAGCATCCCACCAGAATGCTCAGCACTTTGCAGGTCTCTGTTTAAATAATGCAAAACAAAACATCTGTATGCACAGAATGTGGTGATCAGTTATGGTGGAAGACTTTGTTTCAGGTACTGGTAATGAACCACACATCAGGTACGTCCAACCAAGATGTTACCTATGAACACACAGCAGAAATATAGCAACTTCAAAACAGCACCATTACACTACGACCTTTAAACAAGTAAAGGTTACTGTATGCTACCAAAACTAAAGAAAGCTTAACTACCAAGTACACCAGGACAGCTTGTTATTTAACGCAGATGTCAGCCCTGGATTTTTAGAAAACACAAGTGCCATCCAAAGAGGTAGCACCTTTGACAGAACCAGCCAGGAGCATGGGTCTACCACTGCCTGGAATGGGCACATACCAGCTACTGAATTATCTGTTTGCATTTCAAATGCTTGGCACTTACCCTGTTTTGTTTTTCCATACATCTCCCCACTCTGCTTATACACTTAAAATATACATGAATGATGCATCTACTACATTAACTCTCATGAGAATGATTTACATGTAAAATTAGATAAATTTCACTTTTAGCTGGACTGCAAGCTTTATTACATTGGACAGCGTGTGCATTTTTAAAGCAAAGGAATAAGTGTGCTTATAAAAGAAAGTCACATATATTTTTACCTGTATTCCATAAATATGGAGTGGTGAGTTTTCAGGTTCTCAAATGCTTTTCAGACAAATCTCTTTATCAAAGATTTAAAAAAAAATCAGACACCTGCATATAAATTGTTTTTCTCAGCCAAGTTACATAATTCCCCTAATTTACATCACTCAAGTATGAGTAGAATATCCAGAAATCATTACACAGCTGTTTTGTGAAAAATAAATCATGTGTACGTACATATTACTTTAAAGACTAAGAGAACCAGCTTTTCTGAAAAATCACAATTACTCTTCTTTAATACTATAAAATTAATATTGAAGAAGAGCAACTGTGATTTCAGAAAAGCAGATAATGTACTGATGAACAGAGCAGTCAGGTACAACCTATAGAAAATTGAACTGGACCCTTTCCTTAACAAGCATAGTATAGCTATCTATTTCCACATCTTTTAAAAAGAGGAAAGGATCAACATACAGCAAGTATGCTGATTCAATGAAAGTCAATATAATTGAACAAAAAAGATTTTGAATATATTTAAACAGAATAAAGATGTAAGAGTTATACCTGCGTCCTCTAACTAAGACTCTTGAGGCCTTTCCTAATAATTCTACAGCCTGCCGTAAACGTTCTTCATTCTAATAGGAACAAAATTTCATTTATTAGTTGTAAGACTATGCAGTTTTTCCTTTTCTCAAAATACATATATAAATAAAAGTGTACACACACACACACACACACACACACACACACACACACACACACACACACAAATACTAAAAGACATCAACTGAGATTGATGTATGAGGGGTTCTGCTATGCCCTCTGTGGCTCTGGCCAACATGTTGCTTTCTAACTATGCAGAACTGATGCATTGCTCTCTCTGTCTGGACTACCAGCAAGTGGGAGGAATGTAGCTAGGCCACGAAATTCAGATCCTGTGCAATGGAGGAAGAAGTAGGGGTAAAAAAAGAAAAAAAGTTGCACTCCCCACTTTTATACTTAATATTCAAACAGGAGTTAAGTGACTTCCTGTACAGTACAGCCAGTGATGTGATAATAAGGAACAAGAGACAGCATAGCACCCTAGGCTCTAGTTACCATTAACTATGTTTCAAGTAATTATGATTTCTGACTAACCCTAAATATATTTTTCTTTTACTCAATATGCCTTGTCTGGTGAAGATGATATTCTTCATTAAAAGAAAAATAATAGCACATACTTCAAAAACTGATGCTGCATGTTGATAGAGCTGTACAGCCTTTTCTGGGTTCACATTTTCTACCAGCCTGAAATAAACAGACCAGCATTTTTCTCCTTAATTCAAAACAGTAAACATTTCATTTCCTAAACAAGTAAAAGTCTGAAAGAACAGAAAGTATCCATTCTTTGCAGTGCATTCCAGCTGTCAATTCTGCACACTTACTTTCCACCCCGTTCCAGCGCAATGGCTGCTGTGTCAGGAGTTCCATTCTCCAGGTACATCATACTGGCTTTCTCAATCAGCTGAACTGCTTCAGGAAGTTTTTGCATCTCCTGTAAGTGTGAGTTGGAAGAAACATCAAGAAACAGGCTAACATATAGAAGACAAAATGAAAGCATTCTGAATTGCATTACATTAATTTGGATATTTCAGTTCCCAACAAAGAAAACTAGTCAAGGATTCACAATCCCACACAAACAAACTTAGAAGATATCGTTCCTGTCTCACACTGCACCTGCATTTGACAAATGAAAAGTTTGTTGGGTTTGGAACAACTCTATGGTGAAGTAACATAATGGTCATTCACACTGTACAGCTATAGAACCAGAAAAGCAACCCCTTTCTCTCTTTCTTGAATTTCAATAGGAAAATGTGCAGCTATTCCCTGGTAGCCCAACTTTCCACTTGAGGGGAACATTTAGCTTAGATGACATACTTACACAAGTCCATACATACACTTACATTTCCAATTTCAGGGTTCAAATGAAATACTATAATTCTCTGAAAAATCTATTTAACTATTTTATACAAGATCATAAACTCCTTAAACTGACTGAAAGGATATAGCTACCTTAGTTTACTAAACACTACTTCACTAACTACTGAATAATTTCTTCTATTATTGGTTAGCTACTGCATGCAAAATCAGCCTCAGGATTCTGACAGGCATGAGGGGTGGGAAGGAAAGGCAAATTAAAATATTTCATTAATCAAGTTTTAACCAAAATAGAATGGTGCATGTTTAAAATCCTCCCAAAGGTCAGAAGGTAGGAAAGGTTTACAGAAGAAATGTTAGCACCACTTTAGATGCTGATAACGCAACCTGAATATTCTTCAGATTTTAAAAACGAACAAGAGCACAGTTGTCATGTATTTGTTTTCAACAAAATGGTCAATAAAAATACCTTTAACATCATGCCAGCTTGTTCATAAGCTCTGCAGAGAGAAAGGAAGTTAGTTTTATTCAAACACTGTTAAATTTCAGTAACTTGAAGCAGCATTTCTTACTATACAGCAAGAGTTATTGTATATCAACTAGTGGTGAATTAAACATTTTAGTACTAATATCTGAAAAGGCATATATCCCATCAAGCATACATTAAGCTTTATTTTAAGAAATGGTACATATGCAAGGGACCATTTCCATGGGCAAATGCTTTTGACCTTATTCAAAGCATGGGGAAAAAGGATTAAGTTTCCAGGCCCAATTTTTTTTTGCTTTTATAACATTGTGTGTGCGTACACAATTTCACACTGGTGCTTCAAACAATCAAACAATCTTTTCCGTATTCATCTACAGCTGGATTAATAGAAGGACAGGAAACATCGTGTGTTCTCACTTCACCAGCAACACTGGCAATAAGGCACATAATCATAAAAACATTAACAAAAAAGTTCTTTTTAAAAAATATTACAGAATACCATATTTACTTGAGGTCTTTACTTAAGACATATGGTAGTGTCCATTAAGCACAGTTCCCCCTACTGCCAACTCTTTTTCAAGTCATGGTGAGCCACAACACTGCATATCCAGAATCCCTCTGTCAGCCCTTCTCTCAGTGTGACATGTGATTAGCATGGCTCAGCCTTTCATGAGGTGAAGCTGGACCAGGTTGATCTGTGCCTCATCTACATATAAACCCACAGACTGACCTCACGCCATGTATCTGTCCCATGAGGCCAGAATGTTCGTAGATTCATATATGTTAGGGTCGGAAGGGACCTCAATAGATCATCGAGTCTGACCCCCTGCATAAGCAGGAAAGAGTGCTGGGTCTAGATGACCCCAGCTAGATACTCATCTAACCTCCTCTTGAAGACCCCCAGGGTAGGGGAGAGCACCACCTCCCTTGGGAGCCCGTTCCAGACCTTGGCCACTCGAACTGTGAAGAAGTTCTTCCTAATGTCCAATCTAAATCTGGAGCACCACTGACATAAACAAGCAATCCCAGTTACAGAAATTGATCGTAAAAGGTGCTGAAAAGCCACAAGTCTCTATAACTTTAATAGAAGTTCCAACTTTCCAAATATTTCCCAGGAAGTCCCTAAGTAAACCTGAACCAGTGAAATCAAATGATGCTTTTCCATTTAGTTCCATGGAATCAAAATTCGGCATCTCTAAAACAAATCTCAACTTTAGATGTATACTGCAAACTTGGATACATGTTAAATTACCTGAGGAATTTACACTTACTTGGCTGCATGGAAGAGACTGGATGAAACAGAAGCAAAGTTAAGGATATCAACAATAAAAATGACAGGTTTCTATATAGCACAATTAATTTATGAAAGTTGAAAGCAAAATAATCCCATTATCTGAATATTTGTTTCCCAGGTAACATTGAGAGGCGAAATTAATCTAATAAGGGCATGCATGCGAAATTGTTTTAAAAAAAAATAAATTTAAGGGCAGATTATGAATTTAAGAGCCACTATAAAACCACAGGTGAAACTCAATTACATAAAACTGAAGGAAGTGTTGGTTATACTGTATTAAAATACTGTAATGATAGATTAATATTTTAGAATTACTTAATTTTTATCACCCATTTCTAGGCAATACATTTCAAGAAAACAGACAAATAATAATTTACTGCAAAAATATAATACATTTTTGTTGGTTGATTCCTCCTATGTGAAAGGCAGATTACAAACTCAAAGAGAAGGTCTCATCTAAGGCATGTATGCATGTAACATCAAGACCTGAAAAGAAACTAGAGCACTGGAATCTGTTTTAAAATGTGTGTCTGGCAGTAGTGCCATGCCATGCCTCCACTGTGGAAGGCACCGAACACGAACAGAACAAAAAGACAGTTCCTGCTCCAAAAGAGCTTCTTTTCTTCACTGGAAAGGTAAAAAAAAAACCCAACATACCTCTTGGGAGATGTTTCAAAGTTAATTCAGAAAGTCTGGCAATGTAAATTACTTAGTAGATAACTTAATCTTGTGCCTGTACTCATTCATACATTTATAAATAAATAGCACATCCTCTTCTAACTTTCATCAGCCTAGTTTTAATTAACAATTCAGATTCTTCAGGCTCCTCAAACAGGAACAGCAAGTCAAAAGATACGCTTTATTATTTTCATGTGCTTCAGCTTCTCTCAAACAGGCTTCTTTTGCCTGGTCATACTGCTTGGCATTTTTAAAAGCAACAGCTGCAAGGAAGTTTAAAAAAGAAAATAAAAGTTATGCTGTTTGTTTTGTTTTTCTTGTTTAGCTTCTTTTATCTACTGTGCCTAACACCTAGAGACAGGTTTTTAAAAGGTACTTAAAACATGACTATATGCATCTTTAGATGCCTAGCTGGATATCCAAAAAGGCTTGAATTATTGTGGAAAACCCACTATACGGCTGTCTGCATCTTTAGAACTTAAATACTACTAGAAAGCTGATCCATAATGAAAAACTATACTTAATTACACCGTCAAGGCAAAGACTTACAAGGCTCGTAAGTTGCTTGTTTTCAGTACTCTCTTATTTTATAAATGTAATCCAAGTGTTTTTAAAATCAATAGCTTTAAAAAAATCTGAGATCTAGTTTATTTTATTCATTAATCAGAACTGTTGCTGAAGTCTTATCTACAATATTAAAAGTGATGCCTGGTGACAATTTCCCCTCTACCTTCCAAGTAACATGCATTTAAAAACAAGACTCCTACTTACAAAATGCGCCTACAATAACTACGAGCCTTCATAATTAACGATGAAGTGCTACAATAAGACAGCTATAACCTATTTTTAATATGGATTTAAAAGTCAAGCAAATTCTGCTTTGCAAGTTGCAAACACACAACTTTACAAAAAGTTGCAGCTATTTCCATTAAAAGGATTTTTTTTTAAATTGAGTCTCAAACATAAGTGAATGCTAAGAAGTGATAAAGGCAGACAAGGTCCCTTGGGTGAATCTGGTATCTTTTATTAGACCAACCCAAATAGTTGGAGAATAGTTATTAATAACTATAATTATAGTTATTAATTATAAGGGACCTTGTCTGCCTATGTCCTTAGACCAACACGACTACAACCTACACCCCTGCAAGAAGTGATAAACAAACTAAAAACAGATTTAAACTTGAAAAATCCAAAAGGTTCTCCTTAATCACAAAGACATTAAGAGCAGGAAGAAAAGGTATTTCTTTATACAGCAAGCAATCCTCAGAGTTTCTCACAGACTCTCTCTCACTCTCTAAATTCTCTCACATGAGGGTTGAAGAAATAAAAAAGAATGAACGATCTCTGGTTCCCTTCAAATATTTCTATTATCTGCCTCTAGCCACTCTTGGAACTTTCCCTTTATATTTCAAAGCCCAATTATTTTCCATTTCTTGCACACATTAAGCCCCTACTAAAGATAAACGAGTTCACATGCAAACTGGACATTAAATCAAGCCCCTGCTTAAAAACAAATGAAGAGACTATCTGTTCCCCATAAGAGGTTCTGGATTTTATTTAGCTGCCAAAACCAAACATATTTTAAAAAAAAAAAAATCATGATTTACATTTACAGGTTTATAAAACTGTTACAATTACTAAAGGCAGGGATGTAAATATAGTTTTAAAAAATAAGTTTAACCTCCTCTACTTATACAGGTTTTATATATACTTATATACACATATATACACACCCTGCCCCAGCCCTCTCCCCTCCCGGCCACCCTGCTGCCTTCTGATACACACACACGTTTCCCTCACTTAATGCTGTACATGCGTTCCTGGAAAACGACACGTAACTCAAATTTGTATAAAGGGAACCCACTTTACAATGCAACAAATACCTCGACTGTACTGACCCCCAGACCCATTTCTACCACTTTTACAAGAGTACTCACCAACAGCACACAGTACACACAGGCACAGGGCACTATTATAATGGGGATGGCAAGTACAGAAACACATGCCGCAGACAACAAGCAAGAAGCGCAGATCCATACAGGAGACTATATTTTGGTGCACATCACTCCCACAATGCACCGCACAAAGCAGCTGTGGGCTTCCACCACAATGATCACATACAAGTGAATTTACCTCACATGTAACCAATTTTTGGTATAAAAAGGGTCATCGCATAAGTGAATTCACACATACAGAATTTGCATAAAGCAAGGGAAACCTGTATAAACATACATATACATATATATATTAGCCAATTGCCCGTCATGAATGACAAATTTAAAATAATGGACTGTTTACATGGCCACACACACACACATGCGCGCGCACTCTCCCCTAGCCACTCTGCTGCCTTCTGATTTCTGCTGGGCCCTATGTGGCTTCCTTCCTTCCCCTTTCCTGACAGATTACACCCACCCAGAGCTAAAAGATAACCCATTAGCTAATCAGTTATCACTGCACTTATTGGTTAAGCAATTAATCGTATAAGCTTTCACATCCCTAACTAGAGGCAAAACTTTTTTATGGCATCTTTTATTGGACCAACTGAAGAACAGCACTTTGTTTAGCAAAGTTCGTCTAGCATCTCTTCTAACTGTATTGCTGGCCCAACAAAAGATGTCACAAAAAAAGCCTTACCTCATGTATTTCCTGGACCATCACGGCTACAACAACTTTTCAACCTTAGACTTAGTGACTATACCAAATCCTTAGGGTAGAAAATGCAACATGCATTTTTACAGTAAAATCTGAGGGATTTTCAGTTATACACACACACAATCATTCTCTATAGAAAACATTAATTAGAGAAGCGAGAGATCTAAACCATTATTTAGGATTCAACTACTAGAATATTTAAGCCGACAAATTATTTTTTTATAATTTACAGTCATACATACCTGCCTTCCCATATTCAGTAGCTGCACTATCATAGTCTGGTTTCCACTTTAAGAATCCAGTTTTCAAGCTGAAATGCAAAAAAAAAAAAAAATCATCAACTATAAAATGTTCATGCTTTATATTTAGAGCCCAAATAATCTTTAAAGGAATCCTGAAAAGCACCTAAGAATCTCTACATTAGATAAAAAAAAGAGGCAAAAGAAAGAAAATAGTTCACCTTGTGACACATCGGTAAAAATTCAGATGTTCCTGACTCGTGGTTCTCAGAAGAGATCTTTTTATTTACACAGCTTCATATAGCAACATGCAGCAAACACTTATTACCAGTGGTTTTAAAAATTGAGAACCAGATAACACAATTTAAAAAAATCCATGATGTAAAAATATTTCCATCCTCAATATTATTTTTTACTCTAGGCATTTTAGTACTAGAAATGCAAGACTTACAAAAACACAATTTTTGGTGTTATTTGGCCACTTCACACCAATTCATGTCCATATTATTTTTGGCTTTTTACTTGAACAAAATCATTCTGTTGCATGAAACTATAGGATCAAATACAAGACATTTATTTTACAGGAGTTTTTGAAAGTAGAAACTCCCCCTTTCATTAGACGAGCCTGAAACTATTCTTGTTGAGAGGACAGTTAGGCATAAATGCACTTTTGGTGGGTGACAATTTAAGATGCATCTCACCTGGCCCCAGATGTTTTATAATGTTTTAAACCAGTGACTCTCAATTTTAGACTCAAGGCACCACTCAGGAGACTCAAGACCCCACCTGGAAAAATACCAATTCCTAATTGTCATCTGATGACAGAAAAATACTGGAGCGATTCTTCTGTCGCAAACAGCTTGGAAAGACTTCAACATGGTCGCATGTTTTTGACATGGTGGCTTCGTAATTGAAATCTCTGGGTTTATCTTGTGAATCACCTTTCTACACCTAATAGTGATAACACTGCATAGCACCCTTGAAAGTATCTCAAGGCAACCCAGGATGCCACAGCACCCTAAGAATCACTGCTTTAAGGTAACCCATACTCATAGTACTTTTGATGCCTTCAACTGCCTGCCGCAATAACTTAGAACAGCACCGCTGGCACAGCTATCCCATTCAGCGCATCCATCCTCACTGCCTGAATGCAAGCAGCATCGATCTGTCCTCCCCTCCTGGGCACACCAGACTATCCAGTGTCAACCTAGGGCAACATTAAGTGACTTGCTGTAAACACTGGGCTGTCTCAGGAAGCCGCCCATCAGTTTGGCTCCCCACAGGCTGCCAGAGAACAAGACTTAACTGTCCCCGCTGCTCTCATCAGACCCCTTCTACCCAGGTGCTTTCCTCAGCCCTCCCACTCCTGTCCCCTCCAGGCCCCTAATCATGGGGGCAGATGGGGCTTAATGTGGGGTCAGGCAGAAGGTCAAGCAGGGCTGGGGGCACCTCAGAGGCAGCCTGGCTCAACGGGGCAGGAGCCTGCTTTGAGCCAGGGACACTGCCAAATGGTTCAATGCAGCATGGGTGGGCCTGGGGCCATGGCAGCGCCTCCCAGGTTTCCGGTATGGGAATGCAGGTCATCTGTCTTCCCAGGGAGCAGTAAAGGAGGCCCCCACCCCTAAAGCTCCATCTCCCCAGGCGTTGCACCCCCCGCCAGCCAAACATCCATTCCTCTAAAGGTGCTGCTCCTCCCCCCCAGGTACCATCCCCCTCAGGCACTGCCCCCCCAACCCTTCCCACCTCCCCTACAGTGAAGGCCCCCCCACTTAGATGCCCCCCCCCCGGGAGATTCCATCCCCCTGAGATGTCCCCCCAGGTTCCAACCCCTCAGGCGCCCCCCGCTCAAGGTTCTATCCCCCTCAGTCTCCGCCCCGTCCCGGGGAAGGTTCCATCCCCTTGAGACATCCCCCCCGGGCCAAGATTCCATGGTTCCATCCCCAAGACACCCCCGCAAAAAGATTCCATCCCTTCAGGCACCGCCCCTCCCCGCGCGAGGTCCCACGCGCTGCATTTTGGGAGCGGCAATTCTCCTTCCCCCCGCATCGCCAGCCGTCCTGGTGCCGGGGGGAGCGGCTGCTCATCCCCAGAGCGCCTCCCCAGCCCCGACGCCCCGCGCTACGAGGAAGGCAAAGCACCGGCCCCGCTCACTATTTATCAGCCTTAGCGATGTGCTCCAGCGCCTCGTTAATTTTCTGCGCCGCCATCGCGTAGGGGCTGGGCAGGGGCCGCAGCCGCTGCGCCACCTACGTCAAGGAAGGGTGAGCTACGGTGCGCCGTGAGGCCCAGTCCGCGGAGCGGGCGGGGCCCGCCTTCCTGCCCCGTAGGCCACTGCGCCTGCGCGCCCTGCGGGGGGTGGGAGGGGAGGCGCGAGGTTTCGTGCCCTGCGCTGGGAGAGCGGAGACTCGCTCTTGTTCGCACGGGCCCGGTGCCAGAGGCTTGCGCAGCGTGCTGCCCACGTCCAGCACTAACCGTGGCCGCGTCCTCGGGGGCTTCCTCCTGCTGGTGCTGTGTATGGCACCCCCGCTTCTGCCCACGCATGCCATCATCACCCCTACATTTGCCCCGCGGGCTACTCTAGCGCAATGTTTCTCAACCCGTGCGTCCGACCCAAAAGTGATTTGGAGGAATATGTGAAAGGGTCATGAACAAACCTGAAAAATGGATTTTCCTTTAAAGGAGATAAACAGGAAACCCGGGCTTTTCCCTCACAGGCTGGCAGAGCTCCGGCCTGCAAGGGACTGCTTGGGGCCCCCCATTCCTTCCCCAAGCCCCACGCACACGGGGCAGGGGGTCAGGAGTGAGGGGAATTGGGTTGTGACTGGCAATTGATGTTTATAAATGGGTCCTGGTCCAGAAAAGGTTGAGAACCACTGCTCTAGTGGGCCTCTGGAAGCCCCTTCCAGCTCTGCTTCCCTGCGTGACCTCAGATGGGTCTTAAGGCTGGTCACAGAAGGACTTGGGCGCAACTGGACTTGCCCAAAGCTTGAGAGCAAGACATAAAAGCTGTCAGCAAACCTAGAGCATGAAAGAACTGGGCTCATTTAGCCTGGAGAAGAAAAGACTGAGGTGGGGTTTGATGGCAGTCTTCAGCTACCTGAGGAGATGGAGATGGGCTTTTCTCTCTGGCCATAGGGCAGGGGTTCCCAGCTTTTTTAGATTGTGGACTGGCAAGCCATGGATGAGAAGTGACCGCAGACCTGCAAACTCCAGTCCAGAAGTGACCGTCATGAACGCCATGTGTCCCCAGAGGCTTAGGGGGCATGGCGAGCTCCTGCAGGCAGTGGCGGTGCTATTGGCGGCAGGAGCGTGGCGGCGGCAAGCGGGGAGCTCCCGCAGGCAGCCACAGTTCTGTCAGCAGTGGTGGGGAGGGGTGGCGAGCGCCGAGCAGCAGTTTGGCGACCAGCTGCAGGCACCAGTGGCAGTGTCGATGGGAGCGAGGGGGGGAGCGGTGACTGCTTGCAGGTGCTGCCAGCAGTGTCAGCAGTACCTTTTCACAGGGGGTTCGACGCCAAGTTCGGGGTGCACGTGCACCCATGGGCACCCCATATACATCACCAGTGATCCGCATACTGCGAAGCAGCAGCCAACCATTTTTTATACTCAGGGTTGGCTGCTGCTCTGCAGTATGCCAGTCATTTGCAGACTCTCAATCCGGCAGCCAACCCTTCGCAGCCTGGTACTGGCCCACAGCCCAGGGGTTGGGATCCTCTGTGGTAGGGGACAGGACTAGGAGCAACTGCTTCAAGCAGCAGCACAGGAAATTTTTGTTGGAGACTAAGAGGAACTTCCCGACAAAGAGGGTGGTGGTGCATTGGGACAGGGCAGGTGAAGCTGCCTAATGACACTGTGACCCATCCCTGGAAGTTTTCAGGAATAGGCTGGACAAACGCTTGGCTGGGATGGTTTAGTCAGGACTCACTCTGCCTGGAGCAAGAGGCTGGACAATCTGACCACGTGAGTTCCCCTCCAGCCCCATTTACCTATGATCCTATGGGACTTCCCACTCATTTTTTTTTTAAATTTCTATGAGACCTTTGCATGTAAAACAAGACCAAAACACTCCCAAACTAATTGATAGTGAACAGCCACATTTCTCTTACAGACACATGCACCCGTGTTGTATTTTTTTGTACCAAAGTTACCTCTGCAGTCAGCAGCAAAACAAGAAATATGCCACCACATAACAGGAATTACTTAATACCCAGATTTATTATTGGGCTGAATATGTATTGACTCTTGTGACTGTAGCTATGATTTTACTCTTGTGATTTTACTCAGAGCTAAATCACATCACCTATCCTAGAGCACAAAAGAAGAATAGAAGGAGGTTTCTTTTTGCAAGAGCAGGGCCGATCCCCTTGAGTCCTGAAGACTGCACTAAAAAAACCATTCAGCTAATGGTCCATCTCACCACGATTGCCACTGGCCGCCACCAACACTGTTGGCAGCACCTATGGGTGGTCGCCACCCCCCACACTGCCGACAGTGCTGGCAGCATCTGTAGGAGCTTGGCTTACCACCACTGCGCTCCCATCGCTGCCTCTTCCCTCCCGCTGCCGCCAGCACAGCCATGCCCCCGGTCGCTGAGAGCACGCGCTATCCATGCATCTCACATTATGTACCTGTGAATTATGACAAAGCATGAGTTGCTAAGATGGGAGGATAAGACTGGACGAGATCTTTGAGCCATCAAATCCAGTTCCCTGACAACCATTTATTCAAGGAATCCCCCAAAATCACCACTTCAGACCCTCTCACACAACTAAAAAGCACTTTTCAGAGAAACATCAACCACACCTTAAAACGGGGGTCGTCAACCTGCCACACGAGTGGCACAGGCAAGCTGCCTGTACATAGCACATGGCAGATCAGGAAGAACACAGCACAGCAGCAGATGGGACAGGAAGCAAAAGGCAGAGCAGGAGATCAGGGAAGGGGCACAGGGCAGGAAGCAAAATGCAGATCAGCAGATTGGGCACAAGAAGGGGGAAAAAGTGGCACTCAGGAAGAGTGTGGGGTGGATTTGTGGCCCCAACCTGCCTGACTTGTGCCCCCAACCTGCCAGAAAGGTTGGCCCCACTGCCTTAAAAACAGGGGTTTTAAAAGGCTGGGGGCCAGATTGTCCCATTTTGTGTCAGAGGCAGGGTGTGGGGATGGACCCAGATGCTGCTGCTGCTTTTCCCTGCCACCAGCATGGGGAAAGTGTCCACCAGAGAAAAGCAGTGACAGGCATTTTCTCTGCACAGGGAAAAGACCTGCTGACATCAATTTTACCTGTGCCCAAAGCCATCACTTTCCCCCATGCCTGCTGCCGTTGCTTTTCCCCATGCTGGCAACTCTGGCTGAAGCCCCATGTCTGCGAGCCAGATCAAAAGACTCCACAGGCTGCATATGGCCTACAGGCCATAGGTTGCTGACTCCTGCTCTAGAACAATCCTTAAGTATAGGAGGAGACAAGGGCACTGCCAATGCTCTGCCATTGCAATTACAAGGGAGCAGTTGGTTAATATATGCTCAGAAGATTGTAGGAAAAGGACAAAGCAAAAACTGCACGGTGCGTGCCAATGTGACCTAAGGAAATATTTCTTCCTGATCCCCAAATCTGGTGGAATATCAAGACCCTTTAGCCAGGGATTTCTTATTTTGCTGAGTACCAGCCACAGCATGCCCCAGCCCCTCCTTTAGGGGGGCTGTCCTCCCAGTGTTTCAGAGAAAGACAGTCCCCACAGCCCCCCTATCCATTAGTATCATTCATGAAGTGAAAAAAGGAAAATTATCTCTCCTGGACCCCAGCTGCTGACCAGCAAAAGCCCTGAGTCTGTATCCCAATCTGGAGACTGCAAACATGATTCTACATACTGGGTAGCTGGTGGGAGTATAAGGGGTACTTGGTGATACGAATCCTGTAGCAGATGATGTCCCAAGAATTCTCTTCACATCCTTGCTGACAAGTTTGGTTTTTAGACTTCCTAGCCTCATTACTTGGCCTTTCAACTAATGCTAGTGTTTGGTGAGAAAGTGAATTAAGAGCAACCAGAGAAATAACAGAACTGTTTTATAGGTATAGAATAACCTAAGTGAACACTTCTGAAGCACCCAAAGCATTTTTTTTAATTTATATTTTCCTGCCCTACTCTGTTCTTTGGTTATAAAAAGCTATTCAATTCCAAATGAAATTACATATGTGCACTGTCTGGTTACACTTTACTGGAATGACCAGGCTAAGGATTTCCAAGAACAGCATTGTATGAAATAGGATATTCCTGGGTAACTTTTAGTTCATAGACCCAAAGGCTCTTTGGTAGATTTTACATCTGGGAAGAATCAGATCACAGCATCTGATGCAGTGCTGTGAATGATCATGTGTTTAAAAGTATAAAGGTATTGTATGAAGAAACTTGCATACTTACTGTAACAGAATTGCAAATGAGAAGATTTTGTAAATATAGTCTTATACATTCTGTTTAAATTAATATAGAAGCAGATGACTCTACATAGTTAACTTTAGGAAGCTATTATATAGGAACTTGCTGACTCTCTCTTTTCCCCAGATGGGCATGTCACAAGTTGGTTCAGTCCCACTTACCAAATGTGACTGTTCTCATTGGAAGCAGCTGCTAAATTCTACATAGTCCTTTATCCAACTGGATCTGGGTAGTGACAGTCACCGTTGCTAGTTCTGGGTCTCCTAGATGAGAGATTGCACCTACAGGTGTAGACCTTGTGTCTCACATCATTCTTGGGCAGTAGGACCATTCAGAATAGCCACCAAACCATTGAAGCCAGTGCCTTAACCTGCCAGAGCTTCCCCTCTGGGTGCTGAGACACATTTTCACCAGTCTGCTTGGCTTTGGGAGCGCTGATTTTCCTATCTTCATGGATAGGAAAATCATGGATCATGAGACAGTAAAACAGAAACACGGCAAAGGAACATCTCAAACATACCCACTTTACTTTAAAAATAAACACTATGCAAAACAACATATTCCTTGACATAATCACTCTAGTCTCATTTCTCTTTGTGATTTCTCAGGTTTGGTCAGTGTCTTCTCCCTCCACTTGCTCCAGCTGGGTCTTCTATTTCTGACAGTGTAGTCCCTTGGTTCGTCTACAGCAATGGTTCTCAAACTGGGGAAGACATACCTCCAGGGGTAGTTACCTAAGTTTTAATAATGGCAGCAGAGCTTCTGATTGGTCAACATGCAGTGAGTAATGGTGGTGCCTCATTTGATGTTGGTGTTGACACCTCTTCCTAAAAAATGAATATGCAGAAATGTATCAGGCCTACGGGGTATGAGGAGCAA